ACTTGATGCACCCAAACGCACGCAGAGGACAGCAGATTCGGGGTTAATAAAATCCTGCCAATGAGACACACACACACACACACACACACACACACACATCACCACACATCACACACACACGACACACGACACAACAACACAACACACGACACACACACCCCTACACAATCAATCTACTGCACAGGGTTTTTCATTAGTCACTGTGGACACTGACAGCGGTGGTAGCAGTCGGTGGAGCCATAACCAAGCAGTTGCTACAGAAACAATCCCCAGTGCTTTTCTAAGAAACCAATTCCAGCTGCTTACACAACACAGGAACTACAATGACAGTAAGACAGAGGAGATTATGTGTGAACCAGGGATTTACCAGTGCCGGTCATGGGGCAACTTTTGTCATTAGGTCGTGACTGACACATACAGAGAGAGTAAGAGAGAGAAAATGTGCCAACTAGCTGTAAACGTCACATTGTGCACAATGCTCTAAACAAATCTAACGTCACTTTAACCTGTCAAAACACTTGCTTATAAGTAACAAGAAAATTTGTGTGCAATTTGATGGAGCGAAATCTTCAAACTGCAGTTTACCACCTGTGAGAAATGAGGATGTGGATGAATAATTCAACATGAAGCTATTTTTACATCCAGATCTCTGTGAGAATAGTGTGAAGCAGCGTAGAAGCGTGATACAGCACTGACTGAGACACAAACCGCTAGAAATACTGGAAACTGAACAAGAGGAAATAAAAATGATAAATAAAGTAATTCACAGATTCAGTGTAAAGTTAAATGTGACATAAGTATAGATGTGGGGTTAAATTTTTTTGCTCAAGGGCACAACCGTGGTAGTAGAGACATTCAGACATCATTTCCCCTGACATTCATTTACTTTTTTCCCCATTGTTCTTCATTGAACTGTATTTAAGTACATAGAAAGTGCCTCTGAAAAAGCAACATAAAACCAGAGACTTGTGTGTTTGCACATAATTGACCAATAAAGCTAATTCTGATTCAATAGGCAAACATGTAGGAAAAGTTAAGTTTGACAGACAACAAAACAGCAAAAAAAAAAAAAAAAAACACAAACAGATCTGAAACCAGGGAGGCATCTTATCAAAACATGATAAAACTACTTATGCACTAAATTGGGAACAAAGGTCTGTTTGTAATATAAGAGTAAGCTCAAACTCATTCACTAGAGAATTCACAGTAATCAATAGGAGAGGGTGGAACGTATAGTGAGGTCTTTTGGATTGCCTGAATGTCTCATTGATTTTGCAGAGTTTGAGTGTGACAGATGTGGAGTGTCTGCTCTGCTATCCTGCCAGCGGACGGTGGGAGTGCTGCAGTCGCTGCTGCGTGGGGTGCATGTCAACGCACACACGCACACACACACACACACAAGAGAGAGAGACAGAGAGGGGGGGGGCTCTGTCTCTTCTAAATATAGGCCTCAACAGCAGCACAGCCTTAAATATTTCATTGCCTCCTCTCCAGAAATGAAGATGGGGGGAGCCAGGGGAGAAAAAAGGGAAAGATTAGGAGAGAGGCAGAAAGAGAGAGAGAGAAATGAGGAGGTGGAGGGGGGGGCCCGCCGCAAGGAGACTGAGATCAGTACAAAGGGGATATAGCTAAAAATAGGAAGCTGAAAAAAGGCATGAAAGAGGGAAAAAAGGAAGGATGGAGGGAGAAAGGGAGGAGGCATGGGAATCTAATCCCCCCCCTCCTCCTTTTTTATGCAAAATAAGAATGAAGTATTTTTGAAATTCTCCAGACAACTGGTGTGTCATGGTCGATAAGAGGGTTATCTTCTTATGTATGCGTTGCAGAAATCTCTGAATCACTTCAGTTTGAGGCAACTTGGTGTGGTATTGATAAGTTTCTGCTTTAAAAAAAATACACCCTGAAACATGCCTGCCTTGACACTATCTCAACATGAAAACCACTCCAGTCCTCAGCAAAATCAAAATTCCTAATAACATGAAAAAGAAAACAGATTAACGCCAAGCAGATTTGGAAACTGTCAAAAACAAACCGCGCCTCATGGAAACTCAAGTATCCTGACACAAGCTATGACAAGAAGAGGGTTTATTCCCAGCGGCGTGTCATTCTGCTTTGGCCTCGCTGTCACTTTGAGGAGGATAAAGTGTTGCTTTGTTGCTGCTGTAAGCTGCCCTTCTCCCTGCTCGCTATTGTGCATATTGTGCACTGTGCAGCATACTGAAGGAGAGATAAAGGTTAAAGCCACATCTACAGGGAGCTGCAGTGGTGGGACGTCGCATGCAAAAGATCATACGGCACGGGTGCACAAACACATGCAGCCACATGCAGACTTCCTCTCAGGAATTCCTCCTCATGCAGACACACACACATACCCGTTAATGCAGTCAGACACACACACACACACATCCTCGCGCATGCCGGTGTGCCCTTTGTTCTGTCTGTGTTTCACTGTGATGGATGAGTCGGCATGCGAAGCACATGGAGGGTCATTACATGTGGCCCTGTGGAGGCCTTTCTCAGCCCGACATCTACTGAGAAATGAGCTCCACAATGGAACGAAATACCATCACAGAATGGCAACGATCAAGCCGAAGCACACCTCCCCTACACACACACAGAGCTTCACACACACACCAAGATAAACAGATTCAACATCTGTCTGCAAAATCTCTTACGCACACACAATTGTACACACAAAGAGAGACAAACATGAAAACACTAATCGATACACGTGCCAGACTCCAGTGGAGGAGTCAATTCAATAATCAGTCAGATGAACGATTTCAGTATTCTAAAAACATCAAAACAGTAATCACAGCGGCAGAAGTTTAGAGAGATCAAACGATGTGAAAAGGTCAAACAGTAACACAAATTATTTCTTGTTTTTACTCCCTGATCTGATCGTTTTGTCAGAAACCTTTTATAGCTCAATTAGCGAGTTCACTTTATTACAAGGTTGACTATTTCATTTAGCTTTTTCTTCTACTGCTGCACAATGTGCAGTATAAACTACAGACTGCAGACACCATGTGTGTCTGTAACAACTGTGTAACCTATAAATTTGGTGATCCCCTGATTGCACTTGTAGCAGCACCGTGAGGGTGAAACTTGTGGTTTTGAATGAAGTGTCTGAACAACTATTTACCAGAATTTTGTCACAATCTATTCAAGATATTCACATTTCCCTCGGAATGAATTGTAAAAATTGTGATTCCCTGACTTTTCATCAGGTTTGATTAAATACCTGCAAAACTAATGACATCCAGCAGCCATTATAGAGGAGCTGCAGCTTAAGACACTTCTGCTTTAGTATTGTAAGAATGGATGCTGCTTGCTGCAAACACAATCAACAGCTACAGGTTGTGGGCTTGCTTGTTTTCTGATCCACAGCACATTTCCCACCCACAATGGACTGGACAAAATCATGAGGTCTGAATAAAATCGTGTAAGGCCCACAGAACAAATCGTGGGATTGAACGGGTACATCTAATTAGTTTTAGCAGTACAGCTGCATTCAATCACAAATCCAATTCAATGAGCCAAATAAAGTGAACTGGTTAGAGAAGGGGCAAAAAGTCCATTTAGTACGAGACCTTTCTCTCTATGCAGTTAAATATAGAAAGTAGAAGAATGATAGGTGACCTCCATCTGAACATACACAGGCCATTTCAGAAAACATGACCCTGAAGGACTAATATAGGACTTGAAATACTCTGCAATACACCAGCTAGGCTCATGCCTTCATTTCCTTCTGTGTGTCTGTGTGTGTGTGTACGTGCTCCTGTTAGCGAAGGCGACAGAGTCATCCTCCCCTGGGATTAAAACACAGGATGAAAGTGGAATGAGAGTGGATGAATGAAATCACTTTATTCACACACTTTTTCCTGGAGCTACTTTATTAAATTATTTGTTGGAAGGTTGGTATAAGTATAAACACTTCAAGGAGTCGAGAGTTTCCTGCTGATGTGTAGCTAAACCACGTGTAAGCTGCTTGTAATGATAAGGTAACAGCACTCGTTAACACTGGCTGAATATTGTGATACAGCACTGTTCATAGCACGTGACAGTATCTTACTTTATTATATAATAGAATAACCTTTTTCTTGAAAACTAGAGGGTCAATTTAACTTTATAAAACTTGCATAAAAAGAGTGAACTGAGGACAACTCGAGTACAGTTTGGTCTTAACAGCAGTGGGAGGGCTCTTGATCTTCCTGATGGTAAGTGGGAAAGACAAGCAGACCCACTGCAGTAAGACTAACCTCATGTGAACTGGAATGGAATAAATTGTGCTCAAAGAAGAGATACTGAGATACGACCTCATATTCATGTTTCAATAGCCTATTCATAAGTTTTACCTTGTACCATTTACCAAAGCAGATAATAATAATAAATCCTTAAGCATCTGTATTAGAAGGCTGTTGGTGAACGGATTCAATAAGTTCTTATGTAGGTATGCCTATTCTTCAGTGCATTCAAGTGATAGAGAGGATTTTATATGCTAATCCTGTATTGTAGTTTTGGAGAGCAATGTGAGAAGAGACAGTCCTTAAGTGAACCTCGGTGAATCGGAAGGTAAGAAAAAGCGACAGCAGGGTTCAGGGATTTAATTTAATCTATATCTGAGTATCTTCTCTGTATCCTGTCCTGAAGAGAGCTCAGATTAAATGAACATTAGGGTTCAAGTTAGGACAGCTGGGACTGTGCACTCGATCTGCCTTATAATCCTCCTGCTCGGGTCAATACCCCACATCTGGGCCAATATTATTGGATTTAATGTGGTGTTTTAGAAATTTAGATGAGAAGGTTTATTTCACCTTTGCAAAAATATAATTTCTATGCAGTACACAGAAAAAAACAAGTGGCCTCTGCCTTTACTTCAGTGTTAACTACAGGTCATTTCAATCAGCAAACTACAATCCATGATTTTATGCATTTTAGGACATTTCAACAGCTTCTACCACCACTTGTTGCTCGCTTCCCTCTCCCACACCGCTCACCTCTTGAAGTGGCTAAGTAAGGTGCCAACCAGCTCCCCGATGCGGTTCTCATTGGCAGGCACCATGCCCTGCAGGCACACCACGAGATCCCTGCTGTCCTTGGTGTGGAACACAACCAGCTGGTCCTTCCCAGGGGACACGCTCACTCCGGTCACCTGGGACAGAGAGAGAGAGAGAGA